TGTCACTTTTTATATCACATTTTCTGGTTCTAACATGCATTTTGCTCATTAAATCCACTTTCTGCTGCTGCAACATGGGAGTAACAATGAAAGTTTATTTATCCATAAAAACAGCAAGGAAGTTTGCAAGTTTTCATTTCTTTTAACAAAATTGGGGCAACCCCCACCAGAATGGGCGGGGGTGGAGGTGAGGGGAACCCACTTTGTAAAGGAACTATGTATTGCTGACCCTTTCTCTCCTGATATAGATATTTAAATAGTGCTTAAAAATCATGTTGAATATATGATACTAACCTGTTCCATTTTCTTGGCCAAAATTTTCAAACTTGGCTGCCAAAAGTTAGGCACTTAAATTCATATTTAAGCATGTAAATAAATAAGTGACCTGATTTTCAAAAGTGCTGACTACTCACAGCTCCCTCTGAAATCAACAGGAACTGTGGTTGCTCAGGACGTTTGAAAATCAGAGTGCTCATTTAAGTATCTAAATATGGATTTAGGCACCTAACTTGTGGCAGCCAAATTTGAAAATTCTGACCCCTGACAATGAAGGGAATTCTCACTGGAATGAGGCAAGGAGGATTTGGCATAAACTGGGAAAGAGGTTCTTTGGGCAGGTTTTGTAACAAAAAGATCTATGTATAACTTTTAAAAGAATCAAAAATATAATCTGCTCTAGTTCGCATCACATGCACTTTCACCTCTGGTTCCTGTTGTGGTACAGAATTTTCATTTCAAAAGCTTTGGCCCTCTTGGCCACCTTATACCCAATGCTGCCCATGCCGATGATACCGAGAGTAGCCCCAGTGACTTCATCTCCCAGCCAGTCAGCAGCAAAATGCTCAGTCTGTGGAGAAACTGCAATCTGACAACCTAAGAATAAAAAATGCTGAGTGAGAAATGGATTCTTGGTGGATGAATTCTTCCCTGTTTGTAATATCCTCTTTGAAGCTTCAAAATAACTTCTCTTTCCCTGCCAGTTCAGACATTTTCCATTAGACAAATCTTGATTTTCTATCATGGTATATCCCACTATTCTCCTCAGGGAGGTACCAAGACATAGCTGAAGTAATGTAGTTTTTTTACAGGACGGGTGGTGCGCGATTTTGAAACAGATTAGGAGATTAGGTAACAGGACAGAATCTTGTGCATTGCAGAGGCCAGCTCAACAGGGACTCTCTGCAAACTGTTGTGATGGGGACTTGGGGCAAGGTGGGATGAGGGAAGAGTGGGACAGTGCCCAGGGTATGGGAGAACTGCTGTGTTTCCGTGGGATTCCTTCCTTTCAGCCTCCACAGGCACTCTCCCCTCCACTAGGGCACAGTTTGCTGCTTCAGCTATGCACTGTGCCGAAAAGTTGCCCCTTAGAGCACAAGCTAACAAAGGCAACACAGTTAGCATCATCAGCGATTCTAACATTATTCTGGGAACAGGGTTTATTAATTTGAGTTATTTGCTGTAGCAAAGCAAAGTTATTCAGTGGATTTCATAGCAAATCATCTTCTCTGGTGATGGAGACCCAAGGCCTGATGTCCACTGCCTTGCACCCTTGTGTAGTCTTTTACATTGATGCAAAGAGGGTATTAATGAGTGAAGAATTTTAATTTGCTTGCACTTTGCATAGTTGTAAATAACTACATAAGGTGCAGGCAGTGGAGAATTAGAGTGCAAATTCTAGTCCAAACAGTAAGCCTTGTACTGTACATAAATCAAATCATAGGCAGTTTTAAGCACCTAATTTAGACAGACACCTTAATTCTGTTGCCATTGCCTTCAGTAGAAGCTGGATTGGGCTCAGAATATCAAAAACAATATAGAAAAAGCAGGACCACTTGAAAAACTGAATCTTTGCAGCTTTCCTTCCTGTAAAGATTCTTAAACATTATTTCAACCAGATAATCTGTGGCAGAATAAAAATAAAATATGCCAGAAATGTAGCTGACATGATTTATGGAAATAGCAGCAAAGGAATTTAAAAAGTTACCTTCCACTAGCCTTCTGGCAGATGCCAGCATCAAGGCCATCCCAAAGTCTGCTGTGGAGTCAGAAACAGCGTGTGGAGTATTGGTCACTTTAACTCCAAAGCTCGAAATCAATTTTAAGTCCAAGTGATTCACTCCTACCCCCGAGCTTGCAATCACCTTTAAGTGAGGTAGGCTCTGGAGGAGCTCCCGGTCAACAACTGGTCTGCCCGCATATATGAAAACAGATTTGATCTTTTCACTCAATCTTTCTTTGTTTTTAAGAAATTCCTTCATGGTGATAAGGTGAAAGTGTTTCTTCAAGAGCTCCACATGGCCTTCCAGCACACCACATACACCTCCTATTTCAAGGATCAAAAGACCAGGCTGCTCTTGCTTTGCCATGACCTGCGAAAAGGATTAAGAGAAATATGCCCTTGAATATGAGAACAGAACATTTTTGTAAAAACCATTCAGTAGGTGTACCTATCCCGCACCGGTCCAGCAGGAGTTACCCACAAGCTGGGGGCTGAAGAAGCCACACCCCTTCACCTCTGCTGGGCATGCTCTAACTAGAACCAAAGTATAAAAGGGAGTAGTTCAGCTGAGTCTCGTCTGGCCACTGATGAGAGCAGATGTGTGTTGAAGGCTCCAGCTGGGAGGCTGCCAGAGCTCTAGGACACAGAAGCCAGTTGGGTTGAGACTCCAACACACCCGCCGCCGAAGCAGTGGAGAGACAGCAGAAGCCATGAGGCTATGAAGTGGCCCAGCGAACAGAACTGTATTAATGGGTGACCAAGACTGATAATAGAAGTGCCGGTTCCCTAGGGCCGTGGGTCAGGACCCAGGGGAGAAGGGTGGGCCCGGGTCCCCCTACCCTGGTTGTCCTGCCATCGGGGGCAGCCGATGCCCAGAGGGGTGAACTTTGCCACAGAAAGACAGCCTTACTGATTCTGGCCATTGGGCAATACTGCCCTGAGCTTCAGGGCCACAACATACACCCAGGCCACTTGGGCTGTCAAATATCCACTTGGATAACCCCCTGCAATCCGACACCCTGTGATGGGGTGTACCTACCCCGTGACAGTAGGGATAATTTAAACCCACATTTGTAAATCTGTACTTAGTGTAGCTACATACTTCCCTTAACTACACAATGTAAATCCAGAGTTACTAACTTCAAGTCAGTGGAGTTACTCTGGGTTTACACTGGCATGAGGGCCTGATCCAGCCATCAGTGAACTCAATGGGAATCATTCCAGTGACTTCAATGAGTACAGGATTAGGCCATGACAGAGCAGACCCCATCAGGCCTAGTGTCTGTAGGGGTGCTAAGAGGTATAACTCTGAATTGTCCCTCATTTCCAGAGTCATCACTCATTTTAGTCCCAAAGTTACTTCCATTCCACACAATTTGGCAGCCCCTCACTTTTATTTTTGAAAATTATTTATCTCAGTAATAAAGGATCAG